GTGTGTGTGTGTGTGTGTGTGTGTGCACGCACGCACGCATGGGCATGGGGTTAGGGTCAAATGTTGCATGTATTTTGGTGTTTTATTGTTCTGTGAAATGTTTACATTGTTTATTTATTGTTTGTTCATCCTTGTTGTAATAATAAAGCTTATTACAGAATAACTTGGTGTTTGACTACCCTTGTTGCACAGTGTTGTCTTGAAGCAACAAACCAATATCTGTTTGGGGGGGGGCAGGGTGTCAAATTTTATGATTGATATATTAATAGGGACCCTAAAGCTCCCCCAAAATTAAAAAGTCATGCAGTAGAATATCTGTTCACCTAAAACACATTTTCCTTTGATCTGCTGAGAAACTAAAGCGATTTTCACAGCGCCTTTGTATGGGACAGTCAGAGCTGAACACAATGAGTAGTCATTAATGTTTAAATTTACCCACTTTAAAGATTCTGAACTCTAAAGTGCAGCTATCATGTTAAAAATAAACAGCATCACCAACAGTGCACTCAGCATTAAAATCAATATATTAGCTTGAATTAAAATGTTAATTTCATCACTGCGTGGCAAATCTCAAGATTAACAATTTTATGCAGCATTAATCTCTTAGTTACAGCAGAGTTGGATTTACTTTTTTATTTGTTCTATTCTTTATACATTTTTATCACAATTTTATCATCATCAAAACATCTGATAGTAAAAGGACTGGCGGGTGCAGGGTTATTTTGACAAAGAGTAATGTGGCACGTGAAGCACCCCTTTTTATGTGGGCACACACAGATCCTAAAGCAGAAGGCCCAGTTTAATGGAGAAAGTTGATAATCGCCATCACAATATCACCGGCTGTGGATTTAGGTTTTGTCGAGCCAAAGAAAGCCTAGCTGTGTTGAACCTTCCATGTAGCAACCCCTCAGCTGCCTTGGTCACTCTCTGACAATACCGGTCATGTTGAAGTCACAGTCATAGTGTTTGCATAGTGCAGTATTAAAAAGTAATGTACTATCATTGGTTACTTTTTGTCAGGCCTGCATTGCTTGTTTCCTTTGCTAAGGCATTAAAACACAGACATGTGAGTTAGTCTACAATGTTATTCTTTTTATCACTAATACATATGACTGTTTTTAGTCAGATAGAAAAATGGTTGTTCATAAACACCCAAAAATGAATAATAAAAATATTTATTCTTCTTTTTAAACTGCAATTCCCTGAAGAGATATAGATGCTGATAATCATGGTACCCCAGGCAGTTTATATAGTAATTTCATCCAGATTGATTAACGCGTTTAAGAGGAGTGACATATGAATTATACTTTGCGTCAAATATACGTTTTAACTTACGGCATAACTGGAACCCAATTTTAATCCTATGCGTCAACGTTCTATGTAACCACGTCCACCAACCACCAACAAATGCCACAATGACTTCAACGCCGTGGAAGACTGCGGTGTAGGGACAAAAATAGTTTCCATTCACTATGTAGGTAGGTCTAAGTCAAGCTTTAGGGTAAAAACATTAATTCGCACTCTACAATCATTATAGTGAGATGGTTACACACTAACAGACTATCCTAACTAATGTGTTTATTTTGAATGGCATGCTTATAATAAATTTGGTGAAATGGTAAATGGACTAGTTCTTAATTAGCACTTTTCTACTTGCAGGACTTAAAGAAACTTTATACAGCTTGCCTCATTCACCCATTCATGCAAACACTTTTTTCCTGTGCTTTCCCTATGTAAGTGCTTTCATCAACTAACAAAGTGGAAAAAGTTCAGTTTAGCTTAGCTCAGTTTAGCATTACAAATGTTGCAGAGATTTTTGTCTGTGTTGGATTTTAAAAAGCATTACCACAGATGAGACTGCTTTTGGCCCACAGCTGCCGCCATTGCCATGTGTGTTTGTAATTCTTAGCCTAGATGTCCTCTTATACTGAAATTTGGCACTGAATGACTTCATATGAATTAGTACTCCGTAGGACCCATCTAATTCAGTCCCCAACCCTAGCATTCAATGCTCCAAATGAATAACTCTTTAAATATGTGAGGCATACTGATCAATATGTCTCATGTATTTAAGGACTTTTCTTCCAAAAACATT